TGTTACTTACATCTATTAAAAATAAATAAAAGGATTATATTTTAAAAATAATCTCACAATGTATTTGTGAAACTAAAATTTTAGGAAAATGTTCTAAAGAAAAAAAAAGGAAAAATGTACTACAATCTTCGATTGACCATAAAGAAAAATGTAGGAGAGGCTGTCTTGATCCATGTCCTACTGCCACGTGGATCCCCATTTATTGTTCCACTCGCAAAATCACACCCCCTCTCCTACACTTACTACTTTGAAGTGATAATGGAAAATAGAAACCATTTTTCTTTAACTCAGAGGAACATGCGTTCTTATAAATTCAACTACAAACAAGTGTTGTTGGCTCTTTATATGAAAATAAAAATTAAAAAGTAGGTCTTAATTTAAATAAGTGTTTTAATAATTTCTTGACAATTGTTAACCATATATATCTTTTGTATCGATCAACTTACTCTATAATTCAAATTATATTTCAATTATATTCTTTTTGTAAGTTGGGTAGTAATTTTATTCTAACAGTTATAGTACTTAATTCAAATTATTCCTAAAATCTTCAATTTGTAGAACTTATATATATCTTTTTTCTTTTTCCCCTTTTTTGGTCTTATATATCAAGAAATTAAATGAGAAGCTTTTCTTAGTAAAAGAATTGTATGTTTTGCAGGTTGTGTTTCCAAATCAAGAGAAACTAAATTTGTCCAGGATTAAAATAAACCAGTTATGGATAACATCTTCTTATGTTGTGACTTCTCAAGAAAGCTTGAATTTCAGAAAGCTTAATTGTCTACAAATTTCTTATTGTAGCAGCTTAGAATATCTTTTTACCCCTTCCATGGTATCAAGTCTTGTGCAACTCGAGGACTTATCTGTATCATCCTGTCAAGATTTGAAACAAGTGATTATGGTAGAAGGAGTTGAGGAGGAAGTGAACACAGAGTTGATATTCCCACGGCTAAACTCCATTTCGCTATGTTATTGTGACAAGTTGTCAAGTTTCTATGCTGGAAGTTATGCACTCAAGTTCCAATCGGCCATAAAAATTACCATAGTATATTGTCCAAACATGATTACATTTGCTTCTACATTTTCAACAGAGCAAGAGAAAGAGACAGCTTATCGAGGAACTGAGGGATGCCTTAAAAAGAAAGAACCTGATATCCATAGTCAAACTATATTCTTTGATACGGTCAGTTTTTTCTTCACAAATTTAACATTACTCGCAGACTATAATTTCCACTTCTTCTCAACATCACTCTTGCTCTGTTTTCTTTGATTAAAAAACAATGGTTTTAATTAAATTGGACCTTCTTAATTTGCAGGTTGACATTTCTCTCTTGGATGACTTGGATCTGGACTCCATTTGTGTACAGCAAATATGGCACAGCCAAATTACATTAATGTCCTCATTTGTTCAAAACTTGAGGAAATTGATTCTGCTGGCTTGTCATAATTTGAAATATCTCTTCACATCATTGATGGTTAAAAGTTTTGAGCAACTTGAAGTACTCAACATTAGAGGATGTAAGGAGATGGAAGTGGTAATACTGATAGAAGAACTGGTAGAAAAAGAAAAGACAAGCCAGACAATGTTTCCCAAATTAGACGACTTAAAGCTCCATGACCTTCCGCAACTCATAAGATTTTGCTCCAATTGCAATTCTCTTGGAGAAATATATGAAGCTCAAGGACTCAATGGTAGTGGATCGCAAGTAGTTGCGGCCACACAATCAAATTTGGTGGAAACAGAAGTCACTCAGCTTGTATTTCCTCAAGTAACAAACTTGGAACTTCGTCATCTACCCAATTTCAAGGGTTTCTTCCCTCAAATCCACATCACAAAATGGCCATTGTTGAAAAGAATGCTTGCGTTAGGATGTGACAAGGTGAAGACATTTGCTTCAGAATTTCCAAGCATTGAAATAACATATGGAGACAACCAACTTGAAAGGCAAACTCAAGATCCGATGTTTTGGATTGGCAAGGTACGACACCAAATGGGAAAAAATAATTGCATGTAGCTTATACAAATCATTTTTTTCTTAAATTCAAGTAGGAAGAAGTAGGAAAACTAAATCAAAATAAAATCAATCAAGGCTTACCTTCTTCTCTTTTGATCTTTTCTAAATTTTGCTTTATTTCTATTTTATCTAAAAATAATGACTTTTCTCTCTTTTTTTATCTGCTATGGAAGTATTTGGAAACTAAAATTTTTCACATATGAAAAATTAAATTGCCTGTTATTATTTAGCTTAAATACATATTTATTGGGAATGCAATGCAATGTGGTTTCCATCTATAATTTTGCATTTGTACACTTTAATGTACTCTAATATCTTGTTATTTAATTTTATGAAGCCAATCAAATTATAATATTTGTAAAAAAAATTGATTAGTTCTGTTTCTTTTCTTTTATTTTCTTCTTCTTCTTTTTTTTTTTTTTCATATCTCTAATGGAAGATTCTTGTACATGTATATAGCTATTAGGCAAATGTTGGCTTGGGTTTAAGTTTTGACAAGTGACATATAACTACCTTTCTTGAAGTATGGATTTCATAATTTTTACTTGTTTAGGGTTCATGCTAACCAATTAGACAGACGTTTCAAAGAATAGAGGAAATGCAGCTTGTTAGTAAGCATATGTTAGTTAACTCACGTATAGATAGGTCTCAATATAGTCAAGACATAATATAAATAGAATATAGATAAATGTAAAACATTTTTAGACATGAAAGTATCTCATATTAATATGACATATCATAGTGCCACTTTAAATAACATGCCTAATCACATGCCAGAGGTAGTCATAACATACCCCCAACTGCGCAATGGTCCAAAAACACACTCATGAGCTTACAAAAATCTTCGTGACATAGGACAGATGGCATGCTTTGCATTATGTAGCTTAATCGCAAAACTCGTTATACAAAGGATTTGTATTGTATATCATACCCCTTTTTCTATTTTGTATTTTTTTATTTAATTTATAACACGTATTTTTTAATTTGTCAGGATTCATTCCCCTGTCTAGAGCAACTGGAATTCCAGAAGCTTGACAACATGAAAGAGCTATGGCGTGGTCAATGTCCAGGGGTCTATTTTCCCAAACTAAAAGGCATCGAACTCCACCACTTACAAAAATGCTTGACTCTCTTTCCTTCTTTTAATTTCTTCTTCCAGACACTACCCAGTCTTGAGAAGCTGGATGTGAGTGAAGCTTCCTTTCATGAAATATTCCAATGTGAAAGCCTTCATAGTGAGGGAAGACCTGTATATGCGCCCTCCCGGTTAAGTGAATTAAAATTATCAAAACTTAATGGGTTAATGCATCTTTGGAAGGAAGAATCTCACCTCAAATCGATTTTCTACAACTTGAGAACTCTAGAGGTGCTTGAGTGTATCAAATTGGTGAATTTAGTGCCATCAGTTGTTTCTTTTGAGAACCTGCAGACTCTAGAAATATCAAAATGTCATGGACTTGAAAATTTAGTGAGTTACTCAACTGCTAAAAGCTTAGAACAGTTGAAAAGAATGAGCATAACTGATTGTGACTTAGTGGAAGAAATTGTCAAATGCATGGAAGATAATGTGAAGGATGGCATTGTCTATAGCCAACTCCAGTCTTTGCAACTTCGCGGTCTTCCCAAACTGTCAAGCTTTTGCACAGGGAAGTGTGACCTGGAGTTCCCATCTTTGAAAGAAGTAATTGTGATGGGATGTCCACAGATGAAATATTTTTCCTTGGGAAAGACAGTAACAAAGGAATTACAAAATGTTCAATGGACAGATGATGAAGAGAACGGACACTGGGTAAGCGATCTTAACAGCACAATACAAGACTTATACACTCAAAAGGTACACACTAATTCAAAAGATTTCCGTGTGTGTTTCTCAATCATTATATATTCAGCCTTCTTTACTTAATATTACTGGATTTAGTGAAATAGAAGAATATGTAAATACAATATGATTTAAGAAAACCTTTTAAATAATTTTTTTGTTGGGAACGTATGGGATAGTTTAGGGTGAAGAGTAAAGAATTGTATAGGTCTACTTTCTTCCTTTTGGATGGCTAAGAGACTAGCCATTCTCTCCTGTTTGAACTTTCTCAAAGGCATAGAACAGAGCACTTTCAATAAGGGGATTAGAAGAAGAGATTACAAGGTCAATTAAGGGCGGCTTCACTTTTGCGTAGTTTCTGAATCTAATGTACATTAAAAGAACCAAGGGTGGAACATTCACTTTCTATAGTCCTTAATTTAATAATCATAGAGATATTCTATAGGGCCATGTGATGCGACAGATAGGGAAGAACAATAATTTAAAAAACATAAGGAATATTTTTGAATATTTCTCCAATTTGATTTTTGTGATGAATTCCATAAGAGTTATTAATGTTTTTTTTTTCTTTCTTTTATTGATGTCATTATTATTGTTATTGGGCTCTGTGTTATATCAAAGTAATTAATCTATTGGGTTTTGCAGGTTGGACACTTTAAATTTGGAAAATTGAAGTTCTCTGATGAGTTTTTTGAGTCAATTGAAATTTGGAAAAAGAGTCCTGAACAATTACTGTTACCTTTCAAAAAGCTTCAATATCTAGAAGTTAGAAATTGTAGCAGCTTAAGCTATCTTCTAACCCCTTCCATAGCATTGAGCCTTGTGCAACTCGAGGACTTGAAGGTGAAAGACTGTGCAGCAATGGAACAAGTGATCATGGTTACAGGAGTTGAGGAGGTAGTTGAAACAGACTTAATATTATTTCCACAACTAAGGTCCCTTTCACTAGAGTCTTGCTCCAAGTTGTCAAATTTCTATGTGGGAAGTAATACCCTCAAGCTTCCAATGTTGAAGAAAATTACTGTAAAGGACTGTCTAAAGATGGTTAGATTTGTTTCCAAACTTTCAAGCAAGAAAGAGAAGGAGATAGCTGTTGGAAGAAGTGAGGAAGCTCTTGTCCAGGATATCTTCATTAAGGCCTTTTTCTGTGATGAGGTGAGTTTTATTTTTATTTTTTATAGAATTTCTTTACAAATTTGACGAGGACAAGACTTCACTGTACTTCTTTCGTAGAGTATAATTTCCACTCTTTTTCTTCACTTTGATAACTCTGAACATAAAATGTATTTGATGCGTAAAGGTCAGAAGCCTTAGTGAGTATAAAAACCATGTACTATCATTCCTCTTCAACTAAACTTTTCTAATTCATCAAAATTTATATTGTATGAAATTCTAGTTAATGCTTCCATATCATTGCTACACTTTTCTTTGATTCAAGAACAAAAGATCTAATGAAATTGGAACTTCCTTGTAGGTTGAGATTCCTATCTTGGAGAAATTGACTTTGTCCTCAATCAATGTGAAGCAAATATGGAACAATCAACTTTCTTCAATATTTTCCTTTGCTCAACATTTAACAAAGTTGAAGGTGGTTAACTGTTCCAATTTGAAGTATCTGTTTACATTCTCAATGGTTAAAAGTTTTGTGCAACTTAAAGAACTTGGGATTAGTGGATGTGAGATGATGGAAGTGGTAATTTTGATGGAAGGGACGGTAAAAGAACAGATTTCTCAGACGGTGTTCCCTGAACTAAAGACCTTGACACTTAATGACCTACCCCAACTTGCAACATTTTGCTCTAATTGTGATTCTCTAGGGAAAATTTCTGATTCTGAAAGAGTCAATATTGGTATTGAATCACAAAAATTGCTAGCCACGCAATCGACTTTGGTGGAAACAAAAGCCACTAGAGTTGTATTTTCTCAAGTGACAGGCCTGATACTTAGACTCTTACCAAAATTCAAGAGTTTCTTCCCTCAATCACACATCACAGAATGGCCATCATTGGATTATTTAGCCTTGATTGAATGTCATGGAGCGCAAATAGTTGCTTCAGAATCTTTAGGCATTGAGATGACAGATGGAGACAACCAACTTGAAAGAGAATCTCAACCTCTCTTGTTTTGGATTAGCAAGGTACGTACAATTAAGTCCGAAAGGAAAAAAATGCGCATATCTTATACAGATACATGCTGTTCAGTTTTGTTCTTACACTAAATGAAGGAAAGAAAATAGGAAAAGTAATATATGAAGACAAAATAAAGAAAATTTTCTACTTGTTTTTCTTGTGCACTAATTTAATTTTATTTTGAAGATAAAGAAGTAAATTCACCAAAACTTGTTAAAAAGTCATCTCTACCTTGTTTTGAATTTCTACAAGCAGAGATTGATTACCCTGATTTAAAAAATGTCTTGCTCTCATATTTTCTACCATCCAACTTAAATCTTAAGGATGCTAACTAAAATTTTGTTATCCTAATCCTATATCGGGAGTAGACTCTATGTAAATTTAACTTCTAGCCGTCATGAGAAATAAAAAATTATTTTTTTGAAAATGTTTTCTTTTTCATTTTAGTACTTGAGTCTTTTGTCTAGCTTAAATGAATAATAGTTTGCAAATTAAGAAAATTTGCTACAAAAATATTCTGCAAGTTAATCAATATGATTATATAATTAAAGATTTTTACATAGCAATCACCTAAATAATAATTTATTATTTATTGAAATTGAAGTGATAGAAAAAAAGAAGAATTGCAAAACAAAACAATGATAAAGAAAGAAAAAATAGATGCATTTATGTGAGATGAAGTGACTTTTCAATGGCAAAAAAATGTGGAAATCAAATTTTTATGGTTAGAAATAAGTGTAAAAGAATTATTATTTTTCAAAGTCAAGATTTATTGTATAACTTAGAAATGACAAATTTATCAGAGAATAATAGATTTATTTAAAGTTTTGATTGTCTTCTTAACTCGTGTCAATTTCTCAGGCCACCTTTCCTAGTCTAGAAGTGCTGGTTGTGAAAGGGAATGACAATATAAAGATACAATTTGGACATCATCCAGAGGGGTATTTTGGTAACCTAGAGATTCTGCACCTCCTTGGCTTTCCTAAGCAATCGGCTTTTCTTCCACCTTTCTTCTTCCACTCTCTGCCCAATCTCGAAAAGCTTGTAGTGAAGGATGCTTTCTTCGATGAAATATTCCAATGTGAAGAAGTTACTGGTGAGGAAAAACCTGTTTGTGGACGCACTCCATTAAGAAAATTAAGATTGTCCAAACTTCATGAGCTAACACATCTTTGGAAGGAAGAATCCCAACTTGAAGTAGACATTCTCAGAAACCTAGAAATTCTAAAAGTGCAGGAATGTAGCAGATTGAAGAATTTAGTTCCCTCCACTGTATATTTCGACAATTTG